TTGGTATTCTGCAGTCCCCATCATCACCTTGAAAGGTAGAGTCACTATGTGCCTCTGTAGCCAGCAAATATGTACAACTTTTGTCCAACTATGTGCACCCCATGGTGCAGACATTATTTCCCGAAGACAGTGCCATTTACCAAGACGCTAATGCTCCAATTCACACAACTGGTGTTGTCAAATTGTGGTTTGACGAGCATGCAGATGAAGCCTCACACCTTCCCTGGGCGCCACAGTCGCTGGAGCTCAGTATCATAGACCCACTATGGTCAATTTTGGAGAACAAGGTTCAGGCTCGTTTTCTGCCTCCGGTACCTCTGTGAGAACTGAAATGATTTTTGCACAAAATGTGGTATCAGGTTTCATTATTCAACATTCAAGGCTTATATTTGTCAATTCCCAGGAGAATTCAGGCTGTCTTGGATGTCAAATGCGGTCCAACACCATATTGGATAAGGATTTTGTTCTTTTATCTGCTGTCTCCATAATTTTGTCCAACCCTGTGTGTATATATATATATATATATATATATGTATATATATATATATATATATATATATATAAAAATATAGAAGGGACCCATGAGAAAGATTACTTCTATTATATATCTAGCTGCAGTACAGCACTATATTAATCAGGTCTTCTTCAGAAAATCAAAGTAAACTGGTAAATACTGAAAAGGAGTCAGTAGCCCCACCTGCTGATTGAAAGTGATAAATATTAAATTTTCATAAGTAATATTTAATTCCTACTTGATCAAAGTAGTAAAAACAGCATTAACATCTTGCTGCCCACATAACACAAAACAGCAAAAGAGTGGGCTTTAACGCCCAAACCCTGTACATATGTATCACTGGGCAGCCAATGTTTCTTTGCTGAGAGCAAGCTCACTGCATACTTCCAGCACAGAGATCAAGCTGTGAAAGACAGCTATTGGTTCCCTAACGACCGGTGGCTCCTGATCATGTGACCACTGTAACAGTCAATCACAGTGGTCACGAGATCAGCTGTTCTTCCCCACCCCCTGGTGTTCAGAACAGGAAAGGGTTAAACTTAGTTTTCAATAAGAAAAACACTATACTGTACATGCCCTTTAAGAGCAAAGGATAGCTTCTGTATATCAAGGCAATAAACAACAGAAAAAGCACAGCAACCAAAGCAAATAAATGGTGACCATTTTCCAATGTACTGACTTGATGGTAAAAACAATTCCTGGTTTGTTTTTCCTGGTGGTAAAAACAATTCCTGGATTTTATATATGCGTTTATTTCAACTGTTTAGTCCTTCAAAAGTCGTACAGTCATTTTTTTAAATCAGCTAGCACTATTACCTAAAATAAGTCTTTATAGCTGCCATATACCAGCTGAAAGTTGAAATCAGACAGTGCTCTGTAAGCTCATTGTGGGGAGCAGAAAATAAGTGGGCTTACAAGAGGGAGGAAGCTCAGAGTAGACATCACCAGTGTGATGATGCTGACTGGCAGTCCAACCAGCAGAAAAGAGACATGGCAGTAGAACAGTTCCTATACATTTTAAGCAGGTATTTAGTCATTGATTGCTTGTATTCTTTGCATGCATGATATGGTTTGTCAAGCGGCACACACTTTCAACCTTTAGAATGGTTAAACGTGTCCAATTTGAATGTGGATTTTTTTGTGCTTGCTGCAAGGGAACTTTGCTGCATTTGGTATAAAGTATGTGATTGCCTGTTGAAGGACATGTGCAGTGCCTGGCCTTACTCTTGGAGCTATCTAGATCTAGATAGTTCTGGGGGACTGTGCAGGATGTGTAATCGGGGTATACAGTTCTCTAATGGAGAATGCAATTCCTTTCAATGGCTATGTCATTCTGCCAGTAATTAGAACATTATACTTTACCTCTTGAAACAACTTAGAGCTCTGCCCTGCAGTAACCTGTGTGCAGGCTACCATTGCTAACCTAACCTTCACAACATAATCATTCCTGGCTGTCATACTAATCCAGTAGCTTCAGTACTTTCTGAGACACTGACTTGCAACAAGTATACAGATTAGAAGTATTGACTTTCCCATCCCCATGTATTCCAGGCCAGCGTTTTAGAAAGTACTGAAGTAAAAAATTGGCAACTAGCAATTTAACCGCTTCCCGTCCGCCCTATAGCAGAAATACTGCTACAGGGCGGCATGGGTGCGTTAAATCACGTGTATATATACGTGATTTGCATTTCTGGGTAAGGGCACATGCGAGGCGCCTTTCACTGCTGTCAGTCACTGGGTTCTGGCCGGTGATTACTCGCTGCGCCTGGTGATTGCAGAGGATCTAACTGTCAGCTTGTGCACACTGCTTTGCATGGCTGTGCACAACCATACAGAGGAGTGTGCTTACAGTGAAGCACAAACACAAGGCCTCATAGTAAAACACACGCAGCACTCAGTTAACCCTTTGATTGCCCCTCATGTTAACCTCTTCCAGTGTCATTAGTACAGTGTCAGTGGGTGTTTTTTAGCACTGATCACTGTCTTGGTGTCACTGGGGATGTCAGTTCCCCCCAGTGTCAGAATGCCCGCCGCAGTCCCGCTATAAGTCACTGATTGCCACCATTACTAGTAAAAATTAAAAAAAGAAATTCCAGTTTATATACCGCCATTTGTAAACACTATGACTTTCACGTAAAACAATTAATTTACACGTGTTGGGATTTTTTTTTAGCAAAGAGACATAGCAGAATACATTTTGGCCTAAATTTATGACTAAATTTGATTTTTTTAAAATTTTTTTTACTGGACATGTTTAATAGCAAAAAATCAAAAATATTGTTTTTTTTTCAAAATTGTCTGCCTTTTTTTGTTTATAGTGCAAAAAATAAAAAAACGCACAGACGATCAAATACCACCGAAAGAAAGCTCAATTTGTGGGAAAAAAAGGACGTAAATTTCATTTGGGTCCAGCGTTGCATGACTGCGCAATTGTCAGTTAAAGTAAAGCAGCGCCGTAGTGCAAATAATGGCCTGGTCAGGAAGGGGGGTAAATCCTCTGGAGGGCAAGTGGTTACATTTGAGTTAAACAAAAGCATCCTAACTATTTTTATAAGTACAGACTGTGTTAACTGTGTGTTTGGTTATGCTACTGCATTTGTTCTGGTGTACTAAGCCAGACTGCATTTATTCTGCATTATATTCAAGTTTAATACCAACTTTGCTTGTGAAGGAAATTCTGCCTAACATTTTACATAGGGGTGTATTTATGAAAAAATGTGCATAGCTGTTTGTCCATCAAAACTGCATGTAAATTCACTCTGTGCCAATTGGGCAAAATCGAATGTTCTCAGGCTATACTCTTTGTAGATTGTATATGAAAATGAGGAAAATGCCACATCAGATGGTACTGCGTACCATAGGAAATACGGTTGCTTGTTATCTAGTAGTCATAATGCAGTATTTTTGCACATTCAATCTGCAGAGAATGTATTTGGTGTTGCCCCATGAGCGCAGAATGAATTTACAAGCAATTTCGATGGAAGAGAGTATGCAATAGAATGAAACCCATAAGCAAATAGCATACTGCTGAATCAGGGAGGATCAGCTACTAATCACATGGTACAGAATACTAAAAATGTGACTAAAGTTTAGGCCTTCATGTGTTCAGCTTCTCTAACCATTATACCTAGTTGTGCCTCCTAGGATATAGGAATAATTGCTATATTTTAATGACAGTTTTTGCTTTATTAATAAGCTGTAGATAAGTTAGAGAGTTTTGTGCAATAATGGAAACATTCATATTATGATTTTGAAAGCACAACCCTGGGTTCTTTCCTAGCACTAGGCTGCTCGACAATCAACACAGACACGGACACGCACGGCTTAAAAGAAAGAAAAGGCAAAAAAATATTGAATTTCTTTTGTCTTACTTGTAGCACGTCCACACAAAAAAAAATGGCTACAGAGGTAGCACTGGTTGGCCACATTCAGCCCTTGGCCACTCATTTTGTTTTCTGTAAACCACCAGGGAATTTTTTTTTTCTTGCCACATGAAATTCTCACATCTCACTATGAAGAGTTTGGTTCGTTATGTGCACAATTTTACAGATACATTTAGTGTCAGGGTGTGCGTTAAAGGTTTAGGTTATTCTTTGGTTTAGGATCAAGGGTTAAGAGGTTAATTTTTAAAGGTTTTTTTAGGAAGAAGGGGAGGTTTAAGTATTAAGGGTTACATTTTTTTGTTATATTAAAGCCCAACACCAACCAAAACATAATATTTTGTTTGTATAGAGTAAGGAAGAGTTAGAGCCTAACTTCCCGTTACGTTCCATTGGGATCCCAAGCAGAAATAAAATCTTGTAGACATGTTTACTCTTTCCCACTCTATTCAAAACTAAAGACAAACATTTTGGGTGGAGTTAAGCTTCAAAATAAGGTTACGTTTTGGGTATAGACCAGCCTTTCTCAACCTTTTCAACACAGAGGAACCCTTGAAATAACTTTATGGTCTCAGGGAACCCCTGCTAAAAATTACTATATCTACAACTCATGATACTGTGTGATGGATATTGGGAAGAATGCTCCTTACAGCTTTGGTCATTGGGAAGAATTAACCCCTTACAGATAGCTACAAAGATCAATGGTATCGGTGGGAACGGATATGAGAAGCAAAAACTGCTCGCTGCTCAAGAAACCCCTAGCATCCTCTGGAGGAACCCTGGTTGAGAAACCCTGGTATAGAATCAGACACAGTCAGAAGAATGAGTGTACATATTTTAGATCAAAATTGTTTTCAGCAATGAAATCCCCAGCCCCAAGTCCACAGACTTGGGACTACAGTGCGAAAAAACTAGCTGGCAAAACTACGTGAGGAAAAAAATTATAGTCCCCTTATAACATTCTTAATGTAAACATTAGAAATCCACCTTGAAATCTTTATCTTTAATATTTAAGACACTAAGCTATTTTATTTCTGTTTTTCTAGCATCTGGCTACATTTTTGATGGATAAAAGTGATGCTCTGGGTACAGTGGATGAAGCCATCAAACGGCTGATGCAACTAGAATCCAAGGATAAGATCTGGGCCCAGGAAATGGTTTTCCAGGTTATGAGCAATTCCATCAGCCTTCTGGACTCTGGCACACAGGTATAGTGTGATATAGAGCATCAAATAGTATTGATAGCACCTGATAACCACACCTAATGTTGGCATAACTGTAACTGAGCACTGACTCAAGCTGAAGGAGGTCTAAGTGGGACTTTCACTGGCAGGCCTGGAAGTGTTTGTAGGTGTGCATATAAAAGCTTCCAATGAAAACAAGCTGAACTTGTGTGATGACACATCTGTATTAGTGGGACTTTAGCTTTGCTTGTTGACTGTAGATAACCATATGCATTTATGGCTGTATAGCAAAGGCTAAGAATGTGCACAAGACATAAAGGCAAAGATAAATCATACATAAACAATCAAGGAGAATGATCAGTACTACAACACAGATTGACAATTATTTCTTTTCTATATTAGGAAGAGTTGGAGAATTTCCCACTGTCCATTGTACATCACTGCCAGAGTTTACAAGGTCCACATCGCTATCCACACATTCTCCTTCTAGTATGTCAGGAACCAGATCAGACCAAGCCTGACATTCACTTCTTTAACTGTGAAATGGAGGTGAGTAATAGAAACATATTATCATTACTTTTCAGGACATTGTCACTGAACAATATATCAAATATTCAATATACATCTCTCTATAGATATCTTTGCTAATGTCTTCAAGTGCTAGCACAGCTTTCTACCACAACGTGATGTGCATCAATGCATGCATTTTTGTGCATTGATTCATGTTGCCAGGAGCCTGCCTAGGTTAATTGCCACCCGAGGTGGCCTTTTTGCTGATCTCACAGTAACCACCGACACCATGACTCTGCCACCTGCGGCCTAGAAACCAATGACACTGTGTAGTTGTGCATCACTGGTTGCTAGAGCTGGCAACTGAGCTACGTAGGATCATTGTTTGCTAGGCCGCAGGTGGCTGAGTCACATTAATTGTTACAATACAGGCAGCGCCAGTGTCCAAGCAACCAAAGCAACATTACTGAGCTGCAGTGAGAACAGAGTATCCAGTATTGAAACTCCAACTTCAGTCTTGCCCCCACCAAGTGCCACCTGAAGCTGTCATCTCAGTTTGCCTAAATGGTGGCCCCCCCCCTGCATGTTGCATGACTCAGCCCATTCATTTTTAATGAGCTGTAAATGCACTTTTACACACAAAAAACTATTGCTCTATTTTCAAATGCAACACAGAGAGCATGTGCATTTCAGTGCGCTATAGCACAGGTGCTCTGCAGCACACTGCATATGTTGTTTGATGCAGCGCTGTGCGGCGGCAGTAAGTAGACAGAGTCCAGTTGTGAGAACAGAACTTGTATTGATGTCAAAGTCAGTTTAGATACAGCCCGATGGGAAGGCACCTGACTGGAAACACTCACAGTATGTCTTGGCAATGTAGAACAGACTGGGTCTTGAGTGTGCTGGCAGCGGCTGTCTCAGAGGGTGGAATACAGCCTGGCCAGTCTTCACCCAAGAGGAAGGATTCCAGGAAGGATGGTGTGTCCCTATATGGTGCAATTAATTCTAAATGGCAACTGACCACAACATTCATCATAATGCACTGTAGCACCCTCCTAGCATAATATGCTAAGCAAATCTATTTTTTGGCTCCTTCCGTAATCTAGGGAACACTGATTGTTTATTGTGGCCCTATCAGGGTCTCACAGGCTGGAAATCTGAATGCTTCCCTCTGCATCTGGAAAAGGTTTCCAGAGCTTAGGTTGAGAGATTCAAATCAACCAGCATGAATAGTTATCAGGTTCCAGCCAATCTCTGGAGAGGTGTGTCCAGTAGGGGGCTTGAATGGAGATAAATCATATGAGACATTGAAGAGCAGGTTTCCTTTTCTCCTGGAGGGTTCCAGTGGTCTAGGGCTGTTGTTGTTGAGCAGCCCATGGACAGTGTTGTTGCTCTAGGAGGCCTCAGAAGCTCCAGGGGTAAATGGACAGTTCCTGAGAGATACCATCTTATTCACTGGGGTGTGTCTGGCAAAGCTGGGAGCCGGCAGCTGTCCTTGATCCTTGAGACTGTGTGTTTGGAATCTGCTCTAGCTACCAGTTACAGGCTTAGTTCCAGGTAACCAGACATCCAAAGACTTACCCCGTGACCCTCAGCTGTGAGGCTTTAGAGTGCTCAGTATTCAGTAAATACTAAGGAGATGATTATATGTCAGAGATTTGGCTCATGGTCCCCAGCTGTGAGGGCTCAGACTGTCTGATATTCATCACTGTTTAAACAATACGTTCACCTTTGGGTACATGTTACATGTTCCACCCGTTTTTTTCCCCACTGCTGCAGCTGTCACCCGCTGTCCTCTCTCCCTGTGACAGCACTACAGGGAGAAGTTCCCCATAGTAGCTGTAACTTTTTTGTATAACAACGCGGCCATATGGGGCTCCGCCCACACCAAGCTCTGTGAATGAATGAAATACAAGTCCCAACAGTTCTTGCGGCTGTCAGCTTGTAGCTCTCAAATAACTGTCACGGTGCTGTTGAGTGCTGTGGTAGTTCATTGAGTCTTCCTGTCAGACTGTATCTGCATGCTCGTATGCAATACACTGACAGGTTTGCAGGAATTCTGCATGACACCATCTGCTGATCACTGGTGTGATGCTTTCTAGGTTCCAAAAAAGAAAAAAAATGAAAAAAGTGAACTTATCTATTAAGGAAGAGATTGTATGCTAAAGAACTTCATGGCCTTCAGCTGTGAAGTGATAGCCTACTCCAGAATGGCCCTCATGGCCTTCAGCTGTAAGGAGGAGGGGGCGTTAGACTGTTCAGCACTAGTGCACATTCAAAGAAAAGAGTGTCCTCCAATTGCTATGTGTTACAAATATTTGGAGTATCCCATGCCCCAAACCCCTCTCCCATTTCAAATTCTACAAACAATAAAATATAAAAAGACAACCTCTAAACTGTTTATTGAAGCCAGCAGGAATGGACTGTTGCTTGCGTGATTGATGGTCTCTGCGCTGTTTGGTGAATAACCAGCAAATTCAGTGGCTCTTACGGGGATAGCACTACAGCACATTGTGATGTGATTGAGCTTTTAAACTTGACAAATACCTTGGTGATAAATTAGAGCGGGCAAGAGTAAAATAATACCATTAACCTCCCTAAGGGTAATCCCTAGTGAGGCTCGGGTTAATTTTCAGTACCAAAAGTGGTAACCCCGAAGCCACCCTCGGGGTTACACTGTAATGTAATTTACCTTGTCTTGCGATCCCCGGATGTCCTCCCGCTGTGTCCTCCAGCTGATGCCAGCATCCGTCTTCCGGGTTCCCTTCCCTGCGAGCATCGCGACACAGGGGTCGGAACCGGCGGGAGATTAAAAGAAGTAAAAACATGACATACACACAATACATTATAATCTGTTAGGATTACATTACTGTATCAAACCATTTCTCCTCATGGCGTCCAAAAAGCGTCCCTTTAGGTCAAAAGCTGTTTTAGACCAGCAATAAAACAGCGATAGTAAATCAGAATCACTTGCAGAATTGAGCGATAATGATTCGTGGGGAAATTAGTCATCAGACACTGAAAGTGACGACAGCGATGATTCTGCGACTGAGCTCAGTGATGTGCGAACTTTGTGCTCTGTTTCAAATTTCAGTGTTTTTGGTTTGATTATATTATTGAATTAAATTTATAATTTAATTTATAATTATTATATTATTATTTTTTATAATTATTTATGTTATAATTTATGATTTCATGTTTCAAACTGTATCATACGCGGGATGTTTACTAGACTCTTGTTTGGGCAGAGTTCAATGAGTTATTTCTAAGAATTACAGGCCTACAATTTAAAACAACAAATTTCCATGCAAAACAATGTACCGCTTTGACATTCAAAAATAATTACGTAATCAGACTGCCATGGAGGTTACACCATGCTACCCTCTTTTTCTATTTTCACTTGTCATTTTGCTTTTCAATCAGAATTTAAATATATTTATAGAAAAAAAAGGAAGTGGTAAATTTGAAGTACTTTCTGTTTTCAAACAGTAACTCATGTAGCTGTAGCAGCTCTATAGTCTTGTTCCATATTTAACATGCAATAAAAGTTTATTTTTGTACTAATGTGTCAACCTTTGATGCTGATAATTGATAGACTATATAGATAACAATATTATGAGACTTTATTGTTTTATAATCTAGACAAGATTTAAACAACCCATGTTTTTTAAATTATTGAAAAAGTGAGGAGCCAATAAACTGAGAATATGAGAAAACAAGTCTGGGTGACCTGATTTGCTTTGCCTGAACAGCACTGTTAAAGTTAACTAGTGCTTGGCTCATGCATGGCAAAACATGTTGACTTTAAAGCGAAGTGACAATGTCTTTGCAAAAAGAAACCCTGACACCCTTACACTCACCTTTCCTGCGATCTCTCACAGTTCCTTGCTCCTTCGCAGCTGGCGAGCATACTGGCACTTCTTGTTATGGGTGAGCAAGTTACATGCTCCCATATGACAGTGCCCAAGCCTCGTCAGTACCATTACAAGACTGAATGGATTCATGTGGCTGTGCCCCAGGGTCGCCACACAGTTGATTTTAGCACCAGTTGTAGAGGAGCAAGGAGCTGCCAGGGAGCACAAGTAATGTGAATATTTGGGGATCAGGGGATGCCCTTGGCAGAGAAACTGTCACTCTGCCCAGCAAATAAATTATCTGAATTTGCAATACGTACAGTAAAGTATAAAAATGAAATAAGATGATGATTCCTACCTAGGCTGCTTTATAGAATATAATAAAACAGAAAAGAATAGAAAAGAATAGAATGGAATAAAACAAATTAGAATATAATTCTATTATCTATTATTTTCTATTCTATTCTTTTATTTTCTATTATTCTGTTTTATTCTATTCAATTCTGTTCTATTCTTTTTTTATTCTATTCAATTCTATTCTGTTTTGTGCTATTCAGTTTTTTTTCTGTTCTGTTTTATTTTATTCTATTCCTTTCTATTCTATTCTATGAAGCAGCCTAAGTCGGAATCATCATCTTATTTCACTTTTATACCTTACATTCAATTGGAATCGATTTGAAAATAATGTATATACGAAACGCATTTTGAAAATGTATCATTTTAACATAACAAATAGGATGAAACAAAAGTATTAAATTAACAAACTAATCCAAAACAAAACACATTTTTTCCATTGTGCACATCTTCAATGACAGTGCTGAGTGCCTGAGAAAACAGTTGGCAAGAGGCAGCACTGTCAATTGGGAGGAAGAAAAGTGAGCTACATGCTTCCCTATACCCAAGAGAACTGAATTGATGAAGTCTGGACTTGGAACTTGTACAGGGTTCTTTTCCTTACTTCTGAAAGAGAACAGAGCATCGGGGAAATAAAGGGTAAAGAAGTATTAGTGACTGTGGGAGATGGCATTAAATAGAAGCAGTTAAATGGTCCTGCATAGGGTGCATGCTATACATTGTCCCTGTGAGCTTGTGTTTGGGTATATACAGTCAGTACAGGTTTACTTTTATTATAATAGGCAGAGAGGTAACAGATTGCAAACTGCTGACAAACAAGGTGCATGCATTCGGTCCTAGCTACCCCAACTCCATAGGCTGGCAATGAAGCCAGTGACAACTAAAGGCTAAATGAATATCACAATTATCATTTAAAGTCTTATGAGTAGTTGGAACCTTAGAAATGCCATAGACGGGGCAGATGTGTTTCCAGGAATGACAAGTGATAAGTCATTTCCATCACTCTACCTTGTGACTTGGCAAACAATGCAGAAGCGATAGAGAAATAAGCAAACACTTCCTTCTCGTTTCAATGAGAAAAGTAATGGGTGAGCCTCCATGCATGAGATGAAGGTTTCTGTGTGTTCTGACACCATAACAATCTAGTGACTCCAGGCATATTTTACAGCCTGGAGAGAGCTGATAGGTTGCACATACAGCAATCCATTCTCCCCGCCCCTGCTCCCCCTCCTGGCCACTGCATGTGCTTAGCAAAAATTACCCTTTTTTGGGAGCGGGGGTAGGGGTGTCTCAAAGCACCCCTCTAGTAATTATGGGCATGGGGGCTGCAAGTTCATGGCGCATGTAAAAACACCGGTTCAAGACTGGTCTTCACATTGAGTCATCTCTTTTTTTTAGTGCAGAGAATGTAAGATAGCATCTTTCCACTACAAACAGATGTTTGCACAAGTTGTCACTTGACAATGAGGAATGTACAGACAAATCTGGCTAGTCAAAAAAACTTTATAAATAGGGCAAATGCCTCCAGTAAATGTGAACTGATGACATTTGCCACTTTATTAATGTTCCGCAAAGTGAAGTGTTCAAGAGCAAGAAGTAAAAGAAAGAAAGAAACATTATTTATATAAAAACATGAATATATTAAACATCTGTCAAAGTCATCCACATAATTAATATAAATCAATTGATATACTGTCTGGTCATTTTCTTCCTTTTTTCTTTGACTACAAGTATTGGATGTGAAGAGTGATTGTTGAAGTTGGGCTTCCTGATCCATGAAGTTGCCTTGGCCTTTTGGCACCACCTACTGGTTCTTTGTGGCAATACAGATATAATGTAGTATAGTCAAATATAGTGTAGTCAAATAAGATTTGAAGGATAAGTTCACTTTTAGGAACACGTTGCATGTTCCACCCTTTTTTAGGGTGGAGCATGCAACATGCTCCTACTCCTGCAGCCACTGTCCGCTCCACTGCATCTAATGACAGCTAGCAAGGGATCTTCTCTCCCCGCTAGCTGTCACTATTTTTTAAAAGAGTTCTGTGAATTGGGGACTACAAGTACCAACAGCCTTTGAGGCTGTCGGCTTGTTGTTAATGACCTACTACGGCGCTGTTGAGTGCTGTGGTAATTCATTGTCTCTTCCTGTGAGTCTGTATCTGCCTGGCCGTACGAGGTACAAGCAAATGCACTGACAAGTCTGCAGGAGTCCTGCATGGCACCCATGATCTGCTGATCACAGGTGCAATGCTTTGCAGGCTCCAAGTAAAAAAATAAATAAATAAATGCACATTTTTTACCTCCAAAACAGTGTGTATTTTTTTTTTAAAGGTGAGCTTATCCTTTAAAAAACTGTCACAAGAGACATGCCAGGCAGCCATTGCTGACCTGCTTCTGAAAATGATAACTACCTGGCCGCCATGCTGATGTTTCAGATTTTAATACTTTTTGAGTTCTGATGAAGAAGCATGCAGAAGTGAAGTCAGAGTAAAGTTAAACCCTTTGATCTGCATTCTTGATCCTGTTAAGTGACACAGGCAGAATAGGATTTCAAGGGTCAACATGAAAGAAGATTATCCAGCGACAGCCTTGACAATAAGTATTTAAAAATGAAGATTATCAGCGACAGCCTTGAATTTACTCATGGTAGGTTTCCTAAGATATAAAAGAAATGTTTATATACATTGTTGAATTTTAGATTTGGCCGAAATTGTTGGCACCCTATTGCTGAAAATCATATTTCACACAAAAAAGGATAAGAACACATATCACAATGTCAATATGAAAAAAGGCAAAAAGCTTAATGAACCAGAGCAGGGCTCTATTGCCTCCAATATTTGTTCTTTTGATTGAAATCTCGCTTCCTATAACCATATATCACACCTGTTGGACCACTGTTTTGGCTCTTCCTCAAGGTCTAGAGTTTCAAAAAGCATCCATTGTCACTAGAGTGCTTTTTGATATTTGTCTAAGACCCAGGATCTTGGATATTTCTGATATATATAATAATATACTGTATATACTTTAACAAGATTTTATTGTCAGATCTGAGAATCATTTTTTTTTTGCCTTTGAAAACACTTTTGACACTCACAATTTTACTTCCCTATTCAGACATCAATCAGAGTGGGACTCTCAGTCAGTGACACATGTTGGCAGGGTAGGTAGTAACTACAGATCAAGGGGCCCCAGAACCAAATCCCCCTCGCCTCCCTCATTCCCACATAGCAGCTGTAAGTTTCTGCTGTGACAATACTACCTGTTACCATAAAGCATGCCTAAAAATACAGGACAAGCAGGAGAGCTGTCAGCATACGATCAGTAACTCCTCAACTCATCAGGTGTTTTTCTAGCAAGCAAGTGCTGAAGCAGGTAAACTAGTAGTCAGTAAAGTCAAGTAAAAAAAACAAGTTGTAGTAGCAACAATAACAGATTTAGCTAAGGAGGCACGCTGGGATATTTTCACAGCCTGAAAAAGACTGCATTAGGTGTACAGGGTAAATTTCAGAGTAAGAACAATAAATCTGTAACTTCTATAAATGCTAGTTTCTTGAATATTCTGATAATCCAGTAGTTTTAGTACTTTATATATCACTAACTTAAAACTAACATGCATGAATTAGGAACTCCTTTCTCTTTTCATTTGGTGCATGCGTTCTTTGACTCAGTGACTCTGAATCAGTCAGTAACTTGCATATTCTGAGCAAAGTCTGCAATAGCAGCCCCAATATTCCTTTAGTACAGGTTTCCTTCAAATGCTAATTCCTAAATGCAATAGCTTCTGGCAAGCAATAGAATTCATCTTGTAGTGGCCTGAGTACCTCAGAGTACATTTTGTTTGGTTTCTATGCGTTCTAACCTAGGCATTAGCACTTAAAGCAAAACTAAATACAGAATTGTTTTGTTTTAGTTTTGGATAAATGGAGGATTAGAACACCTGTCAGTTTTTTGGGGTTTTTTTTGCTGTCTGTGCCCCTGTTAGGGAGATTCTACCTCTCTTATTGTCCTGTTTACCATTTTCACTGAGCCCGGGTTCACATGTCTGCGGTGATTCGCACAGGAACCACACCGCATTCCTGTGCAAATTCTGTGCAGTGCAATTTCAACCGTACATTTTGTATGGCTCAAATCACACCACATCCACAACAAAAAGGTGCAGGACCCTTTTTTTTTGTCCACACTAGAATCGGATTGCATGGGTATTCACACCCATACGATCCAATTCTGTACATCGCACCGCATTTTGTGGACCGATTTCAGTGTGTTGCTAACTTAACATACACATCCACAGCGGTTCGCATGAACGGGTTGCGATTATGATGCGGTGCAGAATTCACATAGAAACCTCTACGAATTCCGCACCGCATCAGTGTGAACCCAGGCTCAGAGTACAAGTGAAAGAAAATCCTAAATTTTGGGTTGTCATCCGAACAGGAATAGAGAGGTAATTCTCCAATCGGGACACTAATTCTGGTGACAACCAGGGATTACCTTACTTTGGGATTTCCTCTCACTTCTTGTATTGGCTATGAGATAGGAAGTGAAGGGGGAGCTCCCCAAAGGTACATATATGACAGTCAAAATGGTTATAACCCTCCTTTAATTTATCCAAAGTGAGGGAAAAAAAGTTTTTTCCTTTAGTTTTACTTTTTTCTTAGTTCTACTGAGCCAGGGCCTCCAGGCCACATGTCTTTTGTGCTCAAAGCAGCTGCTGGCCAGGCACATTTGGTTCTGCCAACAGGGCTGCTGGATCACATATCCTCGGGGCTCAAAGCAGCTGGGCATCTCCAAGAGCCCACGTTGTCCAACTGGCTTCTCAATGGCCAGCTGGCCCATTCAGTTCCGCTGTCAGGGCCAGGCGGTGGAAAATATAGATCAGCTGACTGTGAAGGGGAAGGAGCTGGAGGAGACCCCATGGCTTGATGTGGGGATAGGTGTCACTGCTGCCACCTGCCGCAAACACCACGAGCCAGGGAGAGAAAGCAAGTGCAAACTGCTGTTAAAAAAATACATTTTGTGGGTTTAACTATTTGATGTACTGATATAGAGCTCTATGTCTGATGCTGGTTTGCTGCCTTCATTTTACCTTATGTTATCCTCTGTTTAGTATATGCAGTAACCTCTAGCAACCAGTCAGTGACAGGTAGTGATGTGCAGTAATCTCTAGCAAGCGATCAGTGAGTGGTAATGATGTGCAGTGACCTCTAGCAACCAATTAGTGAACTGTAAGGATGTGCAGTAACCACTAGCAACCAGTGAGTGGTAAGGATGTGCAGTAACCTCTAGCAACCAAATAGTGCATGGTAATGATGTACGGTGACCTCTAGCAACCAATCAGTGAGTGGTAATGATGTACAGTAACCTCAACCTCTAGCAACCATTCAGTGAGCTGTAAGGATGTGCAGTAAACTTTAGCAAGCAATCCTCATGCAGAAATGATGTGCTGTAACCTCTAGCAACCAATCATTGAGTGGTAATGATATGCTGTAACCTGGCAACCAATTGAAATCGCTGCCTGATCTGCTGCAGTAAACTGATTTTATTATTATTGCATATCTCAGAGTAGGTGGAGAGTGAAATTGCATGGGGGAGTTGGGAAAATGTTTTCCCGAGGTCCAATAATAACTACTTGCTGACCAGTCATGTCCCTGGTGCATCACAAAAAAAATGGGTTGCTCAGTCTAAAATACCTGGGCCTAGTTTTTGTTTCAGTTCGGGCCTGGGTTGTAGTGTCAAAATGATTATATGACCCATTTATACTGTTTTTTTTTTCATAGGCTGAAATGGTCCATGCAGATATTGAAAGTGCACTTGCTGACATAAAACATGGGAACAAAATTAGGCCACAGACACTCAAGTGAGTATAATTAATACTAAAGTGTTATGGTTGACCAGCCAATACTTGAGGCTCTGTTTCAGGTTATATGCTGCACATTATATACAGAGCAATGATGGTCAACTTTATGCCTATTTAGGAGTTTTAGCTTGCATGGTAGCCATGACCCAGTCATTATGTTTCCCATGCCTGTAATAGAAAAAGTGTAATTTATTAATATAGTGACCAGTCATCAATGTATATATATATAGTTAGTGACTACAAAGAAATCACATTTTTCTAATGTAAAGGATGGAGAGTCTCTGCAAAACAACACCAAGATGTGTTATATCTGGCAGTTGTTGACGTATTTTATACTGTATGTAGTATCTGATTGGCCAGAATTCTCAGCTAATTCAATACAGAGCTACACATGGATCAAACAACACTGTATCTGAATATAGATCAGGGGTGGACTGACCATTTGGAAACTCGGACACTGCCCAAGGGCCCAGGTCAGTAGGGGGCCCCATGAGATGCCCCTGGTACCTTTTTCATAGGCTTTTTTGAGTTTGGGCAAGGACACAGGGGCCCCATGATCCCCCATTGCCCGGGGGCCCCATGAGTTGTCAGTCCACCCCTGATATAGATCATAGAGGTTCCTTTTTACCTTGCTTTTAGATGCTACACACTGGGAGAGGAGTACAGGCAGCGTACTTTGGGGAGATTAGAGTTACACTCTGGGAACCCAGAACAAATGTCAAATTAAGGAAAATGTCTGAATGATTTATTCCTTTGCATAGACAGCAAATCAAGAAGATCACAGGAAGAGCCACACTATTATGAAAAATGACATGTTAGTGGTGCATTGTATTCTCAATTTCTATATGATAAAATCTATTAGACTGGCCCTCAGATGGGTATATTGCACATATACACTGAGTTTTTTCATGTCCTTATACCAGCATTAGAGCTACTTTGTGGTTACACCCTTCTTGGGTATATCATAAGCAAAAAAAACTTAGACTTTAGTTGATAAGAGAGTTATAAAGCTTAGGAACAGTGACTATGTCACATAGTACAAGGTTGATATTTATTACATATACTTGTAAGGACAGAAGTAAGTCAAACATGAAAAATATATTTGCAGAAAACATATTTTTTGCTTCAAAGTTACAGCTCTATCTACAGGGTCTGCTGATAGAAGCTGCAATTTTCTAATTCTTTTGACATATACATTGCACTGCTTATATTTGAGGCTTGTCACACATGCATTTCACTTTGTTATAGGCTCCTGCATCCCACAGTTCTAGTGGATTGTAATAGTATAAAAAAAATGCACAGATCATGCCATGGTAGAGATATATATAAAGTATGCCTTTTAGGGGCATACCCACAGTAAGATGACATGAGTGGTTTGTCTAAGACAGCTCCCTGTATTAGGCATCAATGACGCAGGACCTCTTTTAATAACCAGTTGACTTTAGAACAGCTGAATTGTTAGGCTCCATTTACCCCTGAGCATTTTGTGACTTACAGCTCCAAAACTCTCAACATCCAAATCCTATGTATTTCAACGGATACTGTTCACATATGAGCTCTCAGATGCCTTGAGTTCGACACCTGACACTCCAAAAGCTACATGAGTACATGGTACATTTGTGTCAGAATTGGACATTTTTGACCCCATAGACTTCAGTGGGAATGCCTGTAGTGACCAGGGGCGGACTGACCATTTGGAAATTCAGACACTGCCCAAGGGCCCCGGGGTCAGTAGGGGGCCCCATGAGATGCCCCTGGTACCTTTTTTCATAGGCTTTTTTGAGTTTGGGCAAGGACACAGGGGCCCCATGATCCCCTATTGCCCGGGGGCCCCATGAGTTGTCAGTCCGCCCCTGGTAGTAACCCATGGTTTGGAAGCAGTAAGGAAGAGTTAGAACATTCTACGTACTTTCTGTTTGTTTCACAGGTATTAACCTGTCAACTCTAACTATCAACCAAGCCCTAAAATTAACTCTAGCCCTACCCAACTCCCACGTTATTACAAAAATATATTGGTCTCATAAAGGTATTGCACACACAGGAACTAGCTGATTAAGGCTGGGTATACACGTTCAGTTTTTTTTTTTCTTTCAATCTTCTTTATTGAAGAAATATGCATCAAGATACAGCAGGAAATACAGCAATCAGAACCCTGGCAGAAATTGTCATAGCCAATGGAAGGGTAACAAAAAGCACAGCCTAGTGAAGTTAACTTGTTTAACTTAAGAGCCATTCATGGCCTCACAGGGCAAAATCTAGGCAAATCATTTTATATTTTCCTTTACAAAAGTAACCTATAGGTCGCAAAGACCATCTTAAAAATGCTAAACACTTATCGAATAGAATAGCAGAGTTCACAAACGTTTCGATATGCAGGGCAGTGCCCTGATTATGAAGAATAGAGAGAACAAATAACCAAAGTAAAGGAGGAAGGAAGGAAAGTGAAGGAAGAACAAAAAGAGAGAAACCCAGGAAGAGAGGGGCAGTGCAGAGCTTCGGTGGGATCAAGCGCCGCATAGCCCAAGCCATTAGAGTACAATGTGTAAGGTTTTTTTTTTCTTCAACTAGTGGGTGGAACAAAAAAATGGACAGATCACCACATCAACACAACAATTCGTGATGCAGGGATCTCTCCAGCTGAGCTATTCTATTCTGACAACGGGGATTTCCTCCCGCCAGAATACACTGGTCAGCACTTGATTGAATGCTGGTTTTCCAGCATGACTGTTTGACAGAAACCAGTCTTTAGACCGGATTCTGTTGAACAGACATCAGTACACATGTACCTAAAGTCAGCAGGTTCTTGCTGAACAGTCATATTTTGGTACGTGTGTACCGGGCATCAGTCTTTCCAAATAACCAGTAAATCTGGCCATAGACGTAAAATGCTAGTCATTAGTGCATGTACACTCTTGCTACCCTCAGACCAGACTGTCAGCAGAATTCCTGCCCATCTCCGTCTGTTTCTTAGTAGGCACATGCACTTTGCCTTCCCCACCCAACAAAACTATGCTCAGCCCTGAGTGACCACTTGGGTTCCTTGGGCCTGGTTACGTATAGTAAAGCAACAGAAACTGATACAGGTTTTGCAATTTATTGAATTGCTAAAACCCCTAACTTTTAACAATGATCAGGTAGTGTGGTCAGCGTACTACTACTAACACACAATCTCTCAGATCAGGTAATTTCCTCACATCTATGGGCAACTAAAGGCTCCAAGAGGGCTCCATTATGATGCATAATGTGACAGGGGCTCCATAAGTATAATAATGTTTGTACCAATAAACATACAGTTGCAAGAAAAAGTATGTGAACCCCTTGGGATTACGTGGAGTTTTGCATGAATTGGGCATAAAATGTGCTCTGAACGTCATCTAAGTCACAACAGTAGAAGAACACAGTCTGCTGAACATAATACTACACAAATATTAGATGTTGCCATGGTTTAATTGCACATAACATGTAAACATTCACAGTGCAGGGAGGAAAAAGTATGTGAGGCCCTAGCTTAATGACTTCTCCCAGAGCTAATTGGAGCCAGGAGTGAGCCAACCTTGACTCCAATCAGTGTGATGATATTGGTTGTGTTGCTGACAGCTATCCTGCCCTTAAAAAACACACACCTGTTTTGGGTTTACTGGTTTCAAGAAGCACTGTCTGATGTGAACCATGCCTCGCAGAAAAGAGCTCTCAGAAGACCTACGATCAAGAATTGTTGACTTGCATGAAGCTGGAAAGGGTTAGAAAAGTATCTCCAAAAGCCTTGATGTTCATGTGTCCACGGTAAGACATATTGTCTACAAATGGAGAAAGTTTAGCACTGTTGCTACTCTCCCTAGGCGTGGTCGTCCTGTAAAAATGATTGCAAGAGCACAGCGCAGAATGCTGCATGAGGTAAAGAAGAATCCCAGAGTGTCAGCTAAAGACCTACAGAAATCTCTGGCACATGCTAACATTTTTGTTGACACATCTACAATAAGGAAAACATTAAACAAGAATGGAGTACATGGGAGGACACCATGGAGGAAGCCATTGCTGTCCAAAAAGAATATTGCAGCACGTTTGAAGTTTGCAAAAGAACACCTGGATGTTCCACAGCATTACTGACAAAATATACTGTGGACAGATGAAACCAAGATTGAGTTGTTTGGGAAGAACACACAACACTATGTGTGGAGAAAAAAAGGCACAGCACACCAACATCAAAACCTCATCCCCACTGTAAAACATGGCAGAGGGAGCATCATGGTTTGGGGCTGCTTTGCTGCCTCAGGGCCTGGACGGATCGTTGTCATTGATGGGAAAATGAATTCCAGAGTTTATCAAGACATTTTGCAGGAAAATGTACGGCCTACTGAAGCTCCGCAGAGGATGGGTGATGCAACAGGGCAATGACCCAAAGCATACAAGTAATTCAACAAAACAATGGCTGCAACAGCACAGAATACACCTTCTGGAGTGGCCCAGTCAGAGTCCTGACCTCAACCCGATTCAAATGCTGTGGCATGACCTTAGAGAGCGATTCACACCAAACATCCCAAGAATATTGCTACACTGAAACAGTTTTGTGAAGAGGAGTGGTCCAAAATTACTCCAGATCGTTGTGCAGGTCTGATCTGCAACTACAGGAAACGTTTGGTTGAGGTTATTTGCTGCTGCCAAAGGAGGGTCAACCAGTTATTAGGTCCAAAGGTTCACATACTTTTTCCTCCCTGCACTGTGAATGTTTACATGTTATGTGCAATTAAACCATGGCAACATCTAATGTTTGTGTAGTTTTATGTTCAGCAGACTGTGTTTTTCTATTGTTGTGGCTTAGATGACGTTCAGAGCACATTTTATGCCTAATTCATGCAAAACTCCACGTAATCCCAAGGGGTTCACATACTTTTTCTTGCAACTGTACACTATATTGCCAATAGCATTGGGACGCCTGCCTTTACACACACACTTTAAATGACATCCCAGTCTTAGTCCGTAGGGCTCAACATTGAGTTG